GCAGAAGCTGGTGGGCGGGGTCGGCGTGTATGGGGGTGCTGCAGGGGTCGCGGTCGTAGTCCCGTCTGCTGTCCTCTGTGGGTGGGGAGGGGGACATGAGACGAGTTAGACACACAGACCAGGTGTGTACCAGAATATTATAGAATAAAATGTCAAAAATACAGTTTGGAATATATAATATATATATATACATATATAAAATATATATATTCATATATAAAATATACAAAATATATTTGCATATTTTTAATGCAGTACAAAGTGTTGCATTTAACATTGTACAGTTTTAGCAGTATTACTGCAAGTGTGTGTGTGTACATATACGCACACTTGCAGTATTACTGCATTACTGTATACAGGACAAAAATAATACTAATTGATCGGCCAATCACAGTCCAGTAAATTTTGTGTGTTTAACACGTGTGTGTATTTTCTCACGTGTCCAGAATCAAATAATAATAAGATCCGTGAACTGTAGAGTCTCACCTGCTGGTCGATCACTGTCATTACAACTGATCACAGTCCAAGTGTCTTTTGTAGAGTTTGATTAAAGTCTTTGATCTGGTTAATGTGTACGTGTGTGTGTGCGTGTGTGTGTGCGTGTGTGTGTTGTCACCGACCTTTCTCCGAGCCGTTCTGCTGAGCCGGAGACGACATCGGGTTTCTGGTTCTGGCGAAGGCGCTCATGATGGGCAGCGAGCCCGGCCTGTGATTCCTGGGCCTGAAGACAGGGGGAGGGGTTGAGTTTCAGACTCTTTTACCAGGTGTCGGCGCCACATTCATTCTTTCACGCCTGTTTTTTTATTATTATTTTTTTTTTATCACGAGTCTTTTATTTTGAAGGTGAAGGTTAAGCTTCAGTCTCCAAGGACTTTTATTTTGACAGGATTCTTCACGTGTGGAATTAAGAATTACTGACAATTTATTTAATTCAAATAACATGTCAGTTTTTTTTTACCTCAGTGTCCCGCTGCTGTATGATCCACATATACAGTAGGTCCTCGCCCCGGAGGTTGAGAACCAAATTATATGTGTTGCTTTTTTTTTTTTTTTTTGGACAATTCCTCTCTAAAAGTAACTATTTTTTTTTTAATCATTGATTCTCTGCGCCCCAATACTGAAAGTCTCATGGCCCCGTATTTGCCCTGGGAGCCAGTGTTTGAGCACCGTCGCTATAAACCGATAGAGTGTAAAATGCAAAATCTTTGAGAAATATTTTTCGTTTCTCTTCCAGTCACTGGACTTTTATTTTGGTAAGACCTGTCACTGATATCTAAGATAATCAGTGAGGGACTTTAAACAGTTCCAGGTACTGTTTTCACCTCAGCAAATAAATAAATAAATCAGCTGAAAAAAAAAATTCTTATATTTTTTTTTTTCAAAAAAATTCTCATATATGTATATTTTTTTATAATTTTTATATATTTTTATTTTATTTTAAAAAAGTGTCTCGACACTCACCAGTCTTCTGGGTCACAGTCCCGGAACCCTTTAGCAAACGGGTTGCTGGCGATCTTCAGCTGAGTGATCTGAGTGACGTCATGATAATAAAATAAAAACAAATTAAACAAATACAAACATTTTCGTTTATGATTTTTTCCCTTGTTCTAAAAACAGAACATTAATAATAATTATATATATATGTTTATTGTTATTATTATTTTTCTAATAAGTAAATTCATGTAAAAATATATTAATAGTATATATATCTATATGTGTATATATTATAATAGAATATTGTAAAATATTCGGAATAAAACAGTGACAAAAGGAACGTGTCTGGTTCTCAGTCTGCTTGAGGTTCCTTTTTTTTGTAAAATACATTTATATATTTATATATATATATATTTTAAAACTCCGTTGTTCGTGAAACAGTCGGCGCCGAGACGCGTTGACGTCATCGGGGTAATTACCAAAAACTAAAAATCGAATGCATTTAAATATCAGTCAGTATTTTCGAAGACCCGACAAATCACAGTAATATGTTTGTACACGCGGTATATTCAGGAGGTGTAGTAACGAGTACCGCTGTGTACCGTGTACCGTGTCCGTAACATTAAAATACTAATTAAAGATAAATAATACTATGTCAAACAGCGGCCCAATGATAAACAACAGAATACTGCATGTACTCTGAAGTACCTTAAGTAAGACAGATACAAAGTATTTGACAAATTGAATTGTACGGAGAAAAAATACATTTTTATATCGTTTTTTTAAAACTTTTTTTTAAAGAAACTTTT